AGGGCAGGTTTGGCTGGCTTGAGTTGTGGGGATCGAACCACAGCAACCTGAGCCTGACTGCTTTGTTGAAGCAGCTGCTTAAAGAACTGAGCTAAGGGGCAGGCCTCCTCACCAAGTTATTTATTTATTTATTTATTTTAATTAATTTATTTATTTTTTGCAGAACCGGGGATTGAACTCAGACACTTGGGCTTGCCAGGCAAACGCTTATTCTACTGAGCCATCTCCCCGGCCCTCACCAAGTTAATTTTAATCTACCACTTTCAGTGCAACCCCCAGCAAAAGTAAAGATACTAGAACATATTTTTAATTATTGGAGAGCCAAGGGGCTTTAAGTCCAGCCATGAAGATGGCTTTCTGGAACAAAGAAGCTGACCCACGGCCTCACCCAGTTTTATTCAGTGGAGGAGTGGTTTGCGGAGGAATGACCCAGAATTGTGGGAAGTAGGTGACTACCGTGAGCTGAGCTACGTGGATGGCCTACATTTACTGCTGCCATATGCAGAGAGTAATCTGCTTTATGCTATTGAGATAGTATCTAATTTTTTGTGTGGTCTAGTGCTTTAGCTTTTTGGGGTCTTTGTTTGTTTGGCAGAACCAGGGATTGAACTCAGGCCCTTTCGCTTGCCAGGCAAGTGCTTATTCTACTTTGATGTAGTCTTTTCAGCCCCAGGAAGTCATAGCCTCTGTCTCAAGGCTCGATCCCTGCACGGAGTATTGGCTCTGTCCTGTCTTAACCAAGCTCACATTAAAGAGCAGCAGGTGTAGATTACCAGGGAAACACACATGCCACCTTCAAAGACTGTCACCAGCACCTCAGCTAGACCAATATACATTGCTTAAGGCCAATTGAAAGGATAAACAGAAGTCCTAGCCAACTGTACCTATCAATTCCAGGAAATAGGGTGGGCTCAGTCAAAATGGAGACAGTTGCTCTTTTTTAAGGAGCTGCTCAAGTGGTCTTCCACACACAATAAATGTTTGAAACCTTAAAAAAAACACAAAAAAAGACGGGGTGAAGTGGCACGCACGTGTAATCCCAGCACTTGAGGGGATGAGGCGGGAGGAGCTCAGTAGTTTAAGGTCAGCTTGGACTACACAGTGAGGTCAGAGGCAGAATTACACAGCTAGGCCCTGTCTAAAGAAAGACAAGACGGAAAGGAAAAGTTGAGTGTGAGACTTGAAGTCAGGATGGCTTAAAGACAGCTAACTCAGACCCTAAGGCCCCCTGGCATCTCTCCGTTTCACGATGAAGAACACAAGGTGGACAAGGCAATCCAGCTAGGTTCAGGTACACCTAACGTTTTAGGCCAGTCGCTTCCCAGCCGTGGGGCTGAGTGCTGAAACGCCTACAGTACTTCCAGGGTTGATGTTGGGGATAGGACCTCATGCTAGCGTATTATTTTTAAAAATAAACATGAATTTTTTTTTTTCACTGCCCTGTGAACCCTATGAGAAAGCGAAACAAGCGCAGGCCCGGCGCCCTGAGGGCGACGACCGTTCCGGCCGGGGGAGGGACTTAACGTGGCGGGGCAGGACTTCCGGCGCGGGTGGCGCGGCGGGAGCGCGGGCAGCGCTGACAGCTCGGTGGTCACCGCGGCGCCCGCGCGAGCCCGGGAGGCAAGGCGGCACCAGGGCTCCGCCGCCGCATCTGACCCCGGTGCCGGGATGGCTCGAGGCGAGCGACGGCGACGCGCCGTGCCGGGCGAGGGAGCGCGGACAATGGAGAGGGCGGCTCGGGGCGGCCCCGGGCGACGCGAAGGCCGGGTCAGCGCGGCTCGTGGAGCGGCCGGGGGAGCGGCTCTGGCGGTCGTGGTGCTGTCGCTGGCCCTGGGCCTGTCGGGGCGCTGGGCGCTGGCGTGGTACCGTGCGCGGCGGGCGGTCACGCTGCACTCTGCGCCCCCTGCACTGCCCCCGGACTCCTCCAGCCCCGCGGTAGCCCCGGACCTCTTCTGGGGCACCTACCGCCCTCACGTCTACTTTGGCATGAAGACTCGCAGCCCGAAGCCCCTCCTCACCGGTAACCGGGCCCCGGGGCGGGCAAGCAGGTGGGCTCTGACCCTGGGCGCCCCGGCTTCCCGCCAAAGCAAGAGCGGGAGGAGTGGGTTCTGGAGATGTATGTAGAGGGAGGACCCTGCAGTTCTTGGAGACCCGAGGGACAGGTCCCCTGCGCTCTTTGACTTACTTGGCCATTTCACCCCCAGGACTGATGTGGGCGCAGCAGGGGGCCACCCCAGGGACCCCTAAGCTCAGGCACACGTGTGAACAGGGGGACGGCGTGGGTCCCTATGGCTGGGAGTTCCACGACGGCCTCTCCTTCGGGCGGCAACACATCCAGGATGGGGCCTTAAGGCTCACTACTGAGTTCGTCAAGAGGCCCGGGGGTCAGCACGGAGGGGACTGGAGCTGGAGAGTGACTGTAGAGTCTCAGGTCAGGGGCTCAGGATACCCCTTTCTCAGCCCAGACTCCCTCCATCCTTTCCTTGCAGCCAGCAAATGCAGAATGAAGAGAGGGTTAACAGCAGAGGACAGGGGTCTGGCTGCCTGGTTTGCACCCTGTCTTAAATATTTGTCCGTAGGACCAACTCTCTTTACTTCTAAGCCTTGATTTCCTTGTTTGTAAAGTGAAGATAATGGTAGCACCTCACTCACAGGAATGTGAAAATTAGTTCCACAGATTTTTTTTTTTTTTTTTTTTGGTACCAGGAATCAAACTCAGGACCTTGCACTTGCCAGGCAGGTGCTGTGCTGCTAAGTTATATCCCTGGCCCTCGGAATGTGAGAACGAGATGAAATAATCTGTGTAGAATTCTTAGTATAAGAGAGAGCATAAAAATACACTGATGTCCCAGAGAACCTTGTGCAGCCCTCTTTAGCACATTGCACTGGATGTATCTGTTCACCTTCCGTGAACTCAGCGCTGCCAGGTGTATCTTATTTACCAGTTTACTTCCTGCCTGGGATCCCTTTCCCTCACTAAGACTGATTCTCAAAAAAGAATAGCAACTAATGCCTGTTTTTTTTTTTTTTTCTCTCTCTCTCTCTCTTATTTTCCTCTGTTGACCTTTGTCGCCTAGGCCTCAAGTACCTCTGCACTCCCTTTAGTCTCCCTGTTCTTCTATGTGGTGACAGACGGCCAGGAAGTCCTACGACCCGAGGCTGGAACCAAGGGGCAGTTGAAGTTCATCAGTGGGCACACCAGTGAACTTGGCGACTTCCGCTTTACACTTTTGCCACCAACCAGCCCAGGGGACACTGCCCCCAAGTATGGCAGGTAAGTTGGGAAAGAGCTGGTGATACGAGTGGTATGGGATACCAGATGATAGAAGTGGTGTGGCTCCTGACACTGCCTTTTCACCAGCTACTTCCAGTCTTACCAGTTTCCCTGTTCACTGCATTGCTGAGACTTCCCATCCTAATTCCTGACCGTGTTTCCCTTTATAACAACCCTGCCCTGATTATTTCCTATTTGTCTTCTTGCCTTCAAGCTATAATATCTTGTGGTCCTCCAACCCGGGACTGTCCCTGCTGACAGAGATGGTGAAGAGTCGCCTCAACAGCTGGTTTCAGCATCGGCCTCCAGGGGCCTCTCCTGATCGCTACCTTGGCTTGCCAGGATCTTTGAAGTGGGAGGACAGAGGTCCAAGTGGGCAAGGGCAATTCTTGATCCAGCAGGTGACACTGAAGGTCCCCTTTTCTGTGGAGTTTGTATTTGAATCTGGCAGTGCCCAGGCAGGAGGAAACCAAGCCCTTGGGCAGCTGGCAGGCAGCCTGCTGACCCAGGCCCTGGAGAGCCATGCTGCAGCCTTTCGGGAGCGCTTTGAAAAGACCTTCCGGCTGAAGGAGAAGGGCCTGAGCCCTGGGGAGCAGGCATTGGGTCAGGTTGCCTTAAGTGACCTCCTAGGTGGGATTGGCTACTTCTACGGTCAAGGCTTGGTATTGCCAGATATGGGGGCAGAAGGGTCTGAGAAGGTTGATCCTGCCCTCTTTCCACCTGTTCCTCTTTTCTCAGGGGTGCCTTCCAGATCATTCTTCCCACGAGGCTTCCTTTGGGATGAGGGCTTCCACCAGCTAGTGGTCCAGCGGTGGGAACCTCGCCTCACTTGGGAGGCCCTAGGCCACTGGCTGGGGCTACTCAATGCTGATGGCTGGATTGGGCGGGAACAAGTACTGGGGGATGAGGCCCGAGCACGGGTGCCCCCAGAGTTTTTGGTGCAACGGGTGGCACATGCTAACCCCCCAACATTGCTCTTGCCTGTGGCCCATATGCTAGAAGGTGGTGACTCTGGCGACTTGGCCTTCCTCCGCAGGGCATTTCCCCGCCTGCATGCTTGGTTCTCATGGCTCCATCAGAGCCAGGCAGGGCCAGTGCCACTATCTTATCGCTGGCGGGGCCGGGACACAGCCTTGCCCACCCTACTGAACCCCAAGACTCTACCATCAGGGCTGGATGACTACCCTCGGGCCTCACATCCTTCAGCAACTGAGCGGCACCTGGACCTTCGATGCTGGGTGGCCCTGGGAGCCCGTGTATTGTCACGGCTTGCAGAGCGTCTGGGGGAAGCTGAGGCAGCTGCTGAGCTGGGCCCCCTGGCTGCTTCACTGGAAGCAGAGGAGGGCCTGGATGAGCTGCACTGGTCTCCAGAGCTAAGGGTCTTTGCAGACTTCGGGAACCACACAAAAGCAGTACAGCTGAAACCTAGGCCCCCTCAGGGGCTCGTTCGTGTGGTGGGCCGGCCCCCACCTCGCTTACAATATGTGGATGCCTTGGGTTACGTCACTCTTTTCCCCCTGCTGCTACGGCTGCTGGACCCCAAATCTCCCCACCTCGGACCCCTGTTGGATGTTCTTGCTGATAGCCGCCATCTCTGGAGCCCCTTTGGTTTGCGCTCCCTTGCGGCCTCCAGCTCTTTCTATGGCCAGCGCAATTCTGAGCATGACCCTCCCTACTGGCGAGGTGCTGTGTGGCTCAATGTCAACTACCTGGCCTTGGGAGCACTCCACCACTATGGGCAGCTAGAGGGTCCCCACCAGGCCCAGGCTGCCAAGCTGCACAATGAGCTCCGTGCCAATGTGGTAGGCAATGTATGGCGGCAGTACCAGGCTACAGGGTTTTTGTGGGAACAGTATAGTGACCGGGATGGGCGGGGCATGGGCTGCCGCCCTTTCCATGGCTGGACCAGCCTTGTCTTACTGGTCATGGCTGAAGACTACTGAGAGGGATGAGGAGGAGCAAGCCAGGCCATTCATGCCATTGAATCAGGAGGGACAGAGTCTGGCTTCTGACCCCAGCTCTTCAGATACCCATAATTCAGACCTTCCTCAGCTCATCTCAGGTGTCTCCTTACTATCATCCCACATAGCCCTGGGGTGAATGTGAAATCAATATTTTTTTAAATAAACTGGGGAAAAAAACATAACTATTGCTTTTGTTAGCTTTGCCTCATCAAGATGTCTTGACTCAGTCTGGGCTTTAAGGTGTCTTGTATTTTCAGGGAAGGTGAGATAAAATAACCATTATCTGTCCCTTTCAAGCCTAGTCAGGCTAAGTACAACGCAGTCAGCTGAATTCTAGTCCACCCAAATCCACAAGCAGCTGGTTCACATCTCTTTAATGAGATCAAGGCTCTCGTGTATGTTTTGGGGGTGGGTAAAGCTAGAACAGGTCCCTAGTACCACCTCTCTCCTCAGGGTTCCAGCCTTTTCAGGCAAATTCTAGAGGGTAGGGAGGGGTTGAGAGGGACTTGAATTGGGACCAGGGCAGTTTTTGGTGGGTAGGTGGCCCACTCATCCTCCCATAACCCTTATGGGGTGTCCCCTTCACTGGAAGCCTGCTCCACAGGATAGACATGGGGCATGGGCTCTGGAGGCAGCACACGAGGGGAGTGGTCCTCCAGCCCTGATGGGGTAGCACTAGCTCTCACCTCTTTGACTGGCTCACCTTCACTGGAGTCAGGGCAAGGACAGAGCTCAATACCCGAGTCACCAGTCAGGCGACGATAGCGACAAGAGGGGGGTGTGTGGGCCGGGCTCACCCCTGCCCCAGGTTCACCCTCCTGATGAGGGGGGGCACTCTGGTTGGAAGAAACACCTTCCACATTTGTTCCTTCGAAGTAGACAGGGCAGCTGGCTTCAGAGGAACAGCCGGTACATTCACTGGAAGCAGTCAAGGGGTGGCCTGGGGCCATGGTGTATGGAGGTGGTGGTGTGCCTGGGCGGTGAACCACATCCTCATAGGCTGGGGGTTTGAAGGCGCTGAGAAGGCCTGCAGGAGAGAGAACAGCATGGGTGATTGAAGACAACCAGGGATGGGTGGGTGATCTATTAAGGAAAAAGGTGATTCAAAATGTCTGCAAAAGGAAACGGGGTACGGGATGCTGGTTTGGGAGGGGCTGCTGATAACCCAGAGCCTCAAGTCACTCACGAAGGTCAAGCAGTGAGCCGGTAGGGACAGGACCGGCCCCATGGCACGCCCCATGATAGGCCAACAAGTTGATCTCACGCTGCCGCTGCTGTTGTTGCAGTCGGAGTTTAGCTCGCCGGTGGCGGAAGGCGCAACAGCAGCTAAAGAGAATGAGGATAGTCCAGAGGAGCCAGAACCCTGCAAGAGGCAAGAGGGGATGTCTCAGATACCTCCCATGCCGAAAAAGGTCCTTGAAGTTCCAAGGGAAGGTGGGCAGAAGGATTGGTGAACAGCCCTCCTGGAGACTCACACCACAGCTCATAGTAGTAGGTGCAGCAGCCAGTTTCTCCACAGCAGTGACCACTTTCACAGAGGTAGGGCTGGTTGTTCACTCCTGGGCACAGCTCTCGAAGCTGGGGGCATGGAAGCACTTAGAATGGGAGATTCCAGCCCAAGGCACTGTCCACCCCCCACCTGCATGCATACACACAATCCCACCCCTTAGACGGATGAAGGGAATGGGAAAAGGTGAGAGGATTGTTCAAATATCTGAAGGGCTGTCAGCTTGGAAGAGGATTTGGAATAGCAATAAATCAGTCTAGAAAACAAACACCTAGTACGGACACATTTTGGTTTTGCATTTCTGAGACATCTCTCACAATCCCCCCCCCCTTCTCTTAACGGATGTTTTGGCAAAGGCTGGGGGCAGTCTGAGCTATCTCAGTGTCAGAGGATGGATAGGGGCTTAAGGCCATTTCCAAAGCTAACGTGCTTTTCAGCACTGACCCTCATCTGCTACTTCCACCCACGAAACTAGATTTTTCAGGCTTTGGGCCTCAGGCTCCCTAGGGTAGAGGAGGGACAAGTGTGAGACTCAGAGCAGTGTTCCCAACCAGAGGGGACTGGTGTAGATGCGAAAGGGCGGAATCCAGGGAGTGACTCGGTTTCATCTCTTCTCCAAATTTCTCCCTAAAGAGAAGACTCTGCCAGGCTCTGTTGTGACAATAAGCAGAGAAAAACATCACAAATAACGGCTACAAGCAGAGGGAGATTCCCTGGGGCCTCCCTGTGCCTCTTCGATCACTGGAGAGCTGCTCCTTGGAAGCTTCCACTGCAGCCGTGGGATGGGATCTGAGGCTGCAGGTAAAGTCAACTGCGTCTACGTTACAAAGTTTAGACAAAGAGTGGAAGGGACAAGTTTAGCAACTTCACTGTACCTTTGGCTCCCTAAGTTCTTCCCTCTATCTCCCTTATCCCCCAAAAGGAAGGGACAGGAGAGGGCAAAGAGAAATAAATGGCTGTCGTGATAGGCTTTTGGAGCTGTTGGGATACCTGCTGTTGCGGCGCCCGAAGTGCCCCCCAGGCCTCCTCGCTGCGGTTCCCGCTGCTGGCCCGAGCCATCCTCCACCTACAGCCCCCTGAAGACCACAGCCTCCTCTACCGCCAGCTGCCCCGCCCCTGCCACCTCTGCCGCTACCGCCATGGTCCCTGCCCGGCCCATCTTCGCTGTAGCCACCATCACTCCGCGGCCGGAGCTTCTACCCGGGAGAGCTCCTCCAACTAGAACCCAGGTTGCTTCGCCCAGCCAATCAGCATCACCCTCCGATAAATAGACCAATAAGAGCCGACCAGAGACTTCAGCCCGTGACCAACCCGCATTAGCGCCTATGGAGCTCTCCCAGACAACAAGAGCTTGTACAGACAAAGACTGGGGAAACGTTCCACCGGGCCGTGACTGACAGCAACAATAACCAATACGGACAACAGAACAGATTTTAACTTGTGAACCAATGAATCGCTAGCTCTAAAAGCAAACTCCCGCTGATTGGCTTGAGGTAAATTTTCTGGATGATGCTAGACGCCACATCGTGGCAGGTAATCCCGCTAGAAGAGGCTAGGTCCGGGTGCAGATTCACCGAGTTTCCCGAGGACGTTTCCAAGCCTCAGGGAGGGTGTAAAGAGAGACTGGTCTGCCCTTATCCCAGTCCCCCAATTCTGTACAGGCTGAAGTACTGGATGAAATTTAATACGAAAGGGACGACACTATAGACATGGAGCACAGAGTCTGGGTTTTAGTAAGGTCCTTAAGTTGCCAAAAGGGGGGATCCAGGGCCCCCGGGTCCCCCCAGCTGCATCTGCAGGTTGATGCGGTAGCACTGAAGGCTGCAGAGTGCCTGACCCGTGCGGGAGCAGGCATAGCGGCGCGGGTGTGGGCATCCGGGGACAGAGCACCGCGGGGGAGGACCTGCCAGGGCTGTCCGCTGAGACACTGCCGCGGGGGCGGGGACGCCGGGCGGGAAGGAAAGAGTGCAACCTTGGGCCCCGCTGCAGTAGCGCACCATGGGGGTGGGTGCTGCGGCCCGCCCTCCCCGCCGCTCGCCCCGCGCAGCTCCCCGGCCTCCCCGCCCGCTTGGCGCAGCAGTCTTGGTGAGGCGCTCGATAGTCTGGTTCTTGTGCTCTTCTGCGCGCCGCGCCGCCTGCAGCCTCCGCTTCCGCGCCCGCTCCTCGCGCTTGAGCAGCATTTCCTCGGTGAGGGCAGGGGCCGGGCAGCCCGCAGGGACTGGGAGCGGCAACATCGGGGAAGGCTGACTCCGGGCCTTCTGGAGCAGAGCTCTCTGGGGAGACAAGTGGTGGGGTCTGAAAATGGAGAGTGATGGAGGGACGGGTCCACCAGTTGGGGGGAAGAGCAAAAGAGGGAGCAGAGAAGGGAGTCTAGGGAACACAGGCCTTGAGAAGGGGGAACCAGGAGCATAATACTGCTTCCTCCCAGGTCTTCTGATGTTTAGCTCTCGGTAAAAAGCAGGAGTGCATCAAAATTGTACCACCCTTCCAGAGGCTGGTTTGTGTTTAATCTTTGTATCAAATAGACAGCATCAACCTTTCAAGCCAGAATTTCAGGGTTACCCTTGATTCCTACTCTCTCCAGCCCCTTCCCAACAAATACCTCCACAGTACACCCAGTATTCATCTGATCTTCTCCATTTTCACTACTCTCTCCTCGATATAAGCTACCGTCCTCTCTTGCCTAATACACTTGCCTCAGATTCCCGGTGAGTGGGTCCCTCCACTTCTCTTAACCACTGCTACTTCTTATTCTCCACATAAGGCCAATGAAATCTACTAACATGCAAATTTAAAAATATGCCTAGGACAACCAATCACTGGTTTAGCCATACTTTTCCTTCTCCTTTATCTTGCTTGGCACGTTCCAATCTCAGACACTCTGTGCCTGCTGGTTTTGTACTTCCTGGTCTTTCTGCCATTATTGGGAAAGGTAGCTCTTCAAAGAGGCCTTCTTGACTCTTCTAACTAATGTTGTCTTTTCTGCTACTTTCCATTTCATCACTCTATTTTCCTTTTTTTGTAAATCATACAGCAAGGCCAGGGATATAACTCAGTAGAATAAGCGCTTGCCTGGCAAGCACAAGGTCCTGAGTTCAATCCCCAATACCGCAAAAAGCAAACAAACAAACAAAAAAAAAATTAACTTGTAAATCATACAGCATTTTGAGATTGTTATTTACCTGTTACACCAAACACACACACACACATTAGAATACTAGGTCCATGAGAACAGAAACTTTGGCTCTTTCCCCCCATTTATATCCTCACTGCCTAGCAAAGTACTTGAGACATGGCAAGTTCTTAACACATAGTTGGTGAATGAATAACCAACTTACCTGTCGAGCAGTGAGCAGTCGCTCATTGATCTCCTTCTTGAGGTCTCCATTGTCATCTAGCTCCCCTTTCTCCAGTGCATCTAGCCACCTCTGTTCCTCCTCTTCCTCCTGGTCCCCTATCCCCCCAGATAGGTCCTGAAGTGGGGATGGGGAAAGGTTACTGTCTTCATCTGGGAAGAAAAGTTGGAGAGATAAAAGTACAATTGTTCAGATGGGAGGTCTTAATTTCACTTAAAAATACTGGGACAGTCAAAATTCTCACCCACTGGGACAGTCAAAAGAACCAGCCCCCACTTTCCTTAGGTCGAATGAGAAACCTAGCTTCGCCCCTCCAGATCCTGCTCACCCAGCCAGGCACGGTACTGCTCCAGGGGCACTCCCTCCATAGGTTCCTCTTCGTTATCCACAACCATTAGGGGAGAGGGAGAGCGAGGCCCCTCAGGTATAACAGTGAAGGTAGGGACACTGCCGGGAAGACATATAAAAGAAGCCATCAATGCCTGCTCAGTAGCTATATACAGCCTTCTCTAACTTCTTTTCTTGCTGCCTTAACTGGCGCTTAAGTCAGTGTCTATTCTCTGTTTTCTAGAAAGCCTGGCCCGCTTCTAACTTCTGTCTGAAACTTCTCCTTAAATTCCCCAAATAAAACGTTGATCCTTTGACCTCACCTCTTGGTGCCCAAGACCTGCCCACCTAGCTTGATTTTGAGTTTGAGCTGGGGCTTGGCAGGAGAAGGCTGTGTTAGCCCGGAGTCCTCTTCTTGATGGTGTTTCTTCTTGTGCTTCTTCTTGTGCTTCTTGTGCTTTTTCTTGTGCATACCGTGCCCGTGGGCACCGGCCAGGCTCAACTCCAGAGCTTCCCCTGAGGAGAAAGCCTGTCAACGCTGTTCGCCGACCTGCGGCAGGACAAGGCTGAGGGGTCCCGCTCTTCCAATCGCGCTCTCCTGGTTACCATAACAACAGCACCGCCTTTCCCCTTCCCACAAGTGGCGAAGGCATTAGAAGCTCTGAGAACGGGGTGGGGAGGAAGGCTCTTTTTCCAAAAGGACTTAATTTTGAATGGCCCGCGCTTACCCGGCTCAGGGGTCTCCATAATCCCAGACGTGCTCCCGCGCCGCCACAGTTTACTCATGGGGTCCTCCAAGGAAAGGGGGCTGGAAATGCTCGTTGCACAGGCAGACATGCCGTTTCCGCCCCGCGGAAGAATTAACTCCAGCAAGATAATGGGCTACTTCCGCTGTGCGGCAACCTTGCTTGCGCGGAGCACGCTTCGCAGCCAAAGTCCTCCCTGAGAAACACTCATTCCTCCAACAAAAGTTCCGGACCACTAAAGGCCCGAACTGCCCAAAGAGCGCGGCTGTTCCTCCCGCTCTAGATTCCTGAACTCCACAAGAGCAATTATTACAGGTATATCACGGTCCGAATGAGTGAGGTTTAGAGGCCATAAAGTTGAAATGGACACTGCTTCTGCTCCAGAGGAGCTCACAGTTTGGGAAAGTACACAAACTATTGCAGGCAATATGACAGAAATGCATAAGAGCAAAGTAAGTGACAGTAAAGCCCAATTTTTTCTTTTCCTGTACCGGGGCTCGAACCCAGGATTTTGCACTTGCCAGGCAGGTGCTTATGCCACTGAGCTATATCCGCATCCCTCAGCAAAGCCTAAATTTTTACCATTAGGGAAATGGATGTGTGAATTATGGTGCAGCTAAATAAATCTGGGAACACTATATTGCTAAGGAAAGTCGACTGATAATACGACTGACACAGAATTTATATTTTGATGCATAGTAATGCTGTATCGGAAGCAATGTAAGTGTCCCCCTGATGGGACATCAACACAAGTTTGAGAATTTATGGAGGTATTAAAAGAAAGAAGGCCAGGCATGGTGGCTCAGCCTGTGATCTTAGCACTGGGCAGGCTCAGGCAGGATCCCAGCAAGCTCAAGGCAAACCTGGGCTAAATCGTGAGTTCAAAGCCAGCCTGACTCTGTCTCAAACAAAACAAAACAAAAAACTGAAATGAGGCTCCAGAAGGTTATCCAAGAAATCAGTGAGGGCATTGCTGATGGGTGTTCAAGGAACAAGGGTGGAAGGAGACACTTTTCCTACCTAATGTACCCGTTTGTGTCTATTGAATTTTGTATAACAAATGCATATTTCTCTCTCTCTCTCTCTCTCTCTCTCTCTCTCTCTCTCTCTCTCTCTCTCTGGTTTTTATTTCTTTTCTTTATGTATTTGGTACAAGGTTTACATGATCTTGCTACACAGATCGGACTCGTAGTGATTACCCTGTTTTTCAGCCTCCCAAGCGCTGGGATTACAGGTGTGCGCCGCCACGCTCCAATCGCCCTCTCAGTGCACCCCGGGGGCAGGGCCGGCACTGCACACGGGGATCGAACCCCGGCCGTTGCGCTCTGCCTAAACAAGTGCTTTTAGTCCGTTCAGCTACCTGGTCGACCCCTTATTTATTTTTT